GTGATCTGCTTACATCCAAGGTTTAATGGCAAGTAACTTAACCCTTTAACTTCTCCCTGTTATCTCTTTGCTGTGCTGTTTTCTATATATATATATATATATATATATATATAATCTTAGTTACATCTTCTCTGTAAATATTTTTATTGCACCTGTTTGACCCTTTTAGTAATAAATCTCTCTTTCTGAAAGTGTTGAACTGTTTCTATAGCTCTTAATTGCACTTTACGAATCCCTGCCTTTAAAGAGACACTACTGTTTGTTTTAACCCTCTGTATAACAGGCCTGTATTATGACCAGGTTATGCAGTTGATTATATCAACCATTATAGTGTTATAGCTGAACGCCGAGTTTCCTCTTTCTCTGATCAAAAAAGAGGTGGTGGCAGTGTGGAGGGGTTAATTGCGTAATTAACCTGACCCAGTAACAATCGATTCAGGCTGCTGGCACATCGATCGGTATCCCTTAGCTGGAAAATCGTTGTGCAGGGTGCAGCTGGGTGTGGCATTGTTACGCACGTCACATCGTGGTTGTAGATCGGTTAGCCCTTCGGTCACGAGTTTGGTGAGAAGGTCTGGGGTCTGACGCCGTGATCATGACAGGGAGCTTTGGCATATATAGAACACATTCATAGCTGGCATACCAGCATTCATGTGTGAGGAAGCCATAGGTATGGGTGTGGTTGGGTACATACCTGTCTAGCCTTTTTTGAGGCCATGCAGTAGCTTCCTTCAAATCTATTACCCATAAGTGGGTTGCCTTTTAGCCATCACTATGGAAAAAACAGGGAAGTTCCACAAAGTGTGTCAGGGAGCCTTTACTAAATAAGTCGCCTGTACAGAGTAGTGTTAGGCAGAATCCTCTTTGTTTGCCCAAGTAGTGTTCTTGTTTCACACAACAAGTTACCGGTTAGGCCTTTAAGGGGTCCTAAGAAGTGGTTACAGGCGGGAAAGGCCATGATTGCTAGATGGTTTAGACAGGGGACCTCTGTAACCTTCGAAATTCAGAGTTTCTTCTGGTTCCATCAGCTTTAAGAGTAAAAGCACATTCTACTAGATCCGGCATCCGGGGCGGAAAAGGCAGGACATCAGTGGACAGATTGGCAGATCAGCCATAGGATCCAGCCAAGATACCTTCATCAGATATTTATATAGCGAAGGTACACTCAATGCAGGACCTGGTGTTTGGCAGGAAGGTTCTTCAGGCAGTAGTCCCACCCTGAGGTAGGCCTGCAGATACTTGATTATCTTTTCAGGTGTGCTGCCCTGGAAGGTGAGAGGAGAAATACATAAAAAATAGCAGTATGACAAGTGCAATACTGCTCACACAGAGTGGTTATTAGAAAATCCAAGCTGAGTAATATAATTTAGTAATTTACAAAAACGTTTTATTCGATCACATGGATCATAAAGAGGTTAGACAGAGACATGGTCAACAGGTCATTATAAAATCACTAAGTTAAAAACATTTGGCGTCTCCAGATCTAATAGTTATTCGGCAATCAGGAATCCACATAAGGCAATGACGTTCCTAACTACTTTATCAAAGAATTTTCATATTTTCCATACGATATCTGCATAGGGAGGTCATTCTTCAAAAAAATATTGTTGGTAACCCCCACAATGGATAGAATGACTTTCTAAAATGGAAAAACCAGAAAAGAAAGGATCATAGTAGAGAGAACACAAAATAAGATATATGCACTAACCATATGTAATAACAAAGTAACCCCATGTCAGGTATATATGTTATTTCATTACCTTCTCATAAGCTTGACCATCATTATAGGATGGATATATGGCCTTCCTGGGTAACCACCCCAGATGAAAATGTGTCCACATTAGTAAGTGATTCTAAAAGTGTATAAATATGAGACATAAATATCAAACAGCAAGCAAACCTGAATGGAACTAAATAAGGGTAAAAATCTCTGAATATTACTATACAGAAGATCAAGGGGACTCCTCCTCACTTGAAGTAAGATCAGGTATGGATGAAAAAGTGAATATGGGGGTGGGAAGCCAGGTGGTCAGTGTATGAAGTCCAGACTGGTTGATACAGTCTATGTATATTTAGATATATAGACCCAAATCAGGGTTTCCAAAAATTGCACAATATTCACTTTTTCATCCAGCTTTATTGCAAACTGAGGGTCAAGGGGAAGGGATGGGACTTTTAACAGCTATCAATTGAGTGTGTTTCCTTTAGGGAGGAGCCTCTCATCTCTCAGGCGTGCTATCCTGGAAAGTTTGCAGAAATACCGTTATCAGTAAGTAACAGTTGTATTCTCTCTTTAGGCGTAGTACACACGATCAGAAAATACCACTTTTGAAGCAATTGTACAATAATCGGATTGTTGGTACACAGCTTTCATCTGAAATTATTAGAAGGGACAAGCACAAACATTTTTCCTATGATACCATTTTCATTTAATCAGTACAGTTTTCATCCAAAAACAAACCAATACAAATGCAATACATTACATCACTTTCAAATTTTTATTCTGTCGTAGAAGAATTTTCATAACTTGTTACCTTTTCACTTTCAATATGAGACTAGAATGCAAAAAAGGATGTTCCTTCCTCCGATAGTCTCATCGTGTGTATGGGGCTTTGGTTGCAAGCAATTACAGTTCTTCTTTAATATGACAGCCAGACATACCTAAAGCAGAAAAGTGGTAGCAACCCAACAGGCTGGGTAGATAGGCATCATCCAAAACCGTATAAAGAAGAGATGGTGCTGTAGCCCAATACAGATACACTTTCCTGATGTTAGTGTCTGGTTTTCCCAGGCAAGCCAGGGTTAATGAGCTCCAGCTTAAGGGCCTATGATGATATTATGCAGGGCTTGGACTCTAGAGAAGAGAAAGTTACCTAATGTAAAGGCTTAATCATTTATATATGCCTGTATGTCTGGGCTGGAGCTTTAAGATTTTTTTGTTTCCATCTTAAAGTTAAATTTCAAGTAGGCATATGAAAATATTAATTCAGTTACATATTAATTAGAAATCATGAAATGCATGCTATAGGGTATCCTAATAATCTTTCTATCCTTGTAACAATGGCCACCAGAAAAATACAGAGGGAAAATCTCATCTACATGGACTCATCCTATCCAAGACTAAAAATAAAGGTTTTGGTTATGGATGTACTGTAAGATAAATTGATGTTAATAAAGCACTGATATATTTAAATGACTCATTAGAATTATTTTGTTACTGATGTTGGCCACTGTAACACCTCTAAATGCGTAAAGTTTTGTTTTTGCTCACAAATTCTTCATGGCCTGTTTGACCACAGATATCTAAAAGCATTCTCACTCTCCTAAATATATTGATACTAAAAGTTGTTCCTCTTTCCATCTCATAATTTTGGGAGGTATAATAGACCTCTCTGAAGAACAATCCACACATTTTGTCAGCCAAAAACTGCGGTCAATGAACCCTATTGCCATGCTTAGTGTGGAAGCCAACTTTTTACCCATCACATAGGTGTGTGGAGGCCAATGCTTTGTGGGGGCCAATGCTTTGTGGGGATTAATGAGCACATCTGGGTCCCTTATGAGATGAAGACTGAACTACTTGTAGCTGCTAGTGTATAAATGTTATCTGATATTGTATGCAACAAAATCATCATCATCATCTGAGGATAATGCCGAATTTGTTTTTTACGAAGCATGCTGAGTCTTGAAGACTTAATTTTTTTGCCACAAATTTTTTTTGAAAATGCGGAAAGAGAATGAAAATGTTTTTATTACACAAAGGCAATTTAATTAGATATTTCTCAAACACAGCATGGGCATACTTAGACTTATATCCCAAAACACATTCTGCTATTCCTGCTGAGTATGGTGATACCTCATGTGTGAAACTTTTTCAATGTCTGTGCTGATTATATACCGGAAATGCTATCTTGTGTATCACACAAATCAACCTACTGTGTCAGAACCTCTGTAATTTTCACCTCTATAAAGGTGGTCCGGGGATATGATATAGTGTAACATCACCTATAGCAGTCCCTGTTCCTACAAGCCAAGGAAGCCTAGCCTATTGATACATGTCTGCCTCTAGGAATGCCATGTTTGCTGGTCTAGTGTCTCACAGGAATGTAGTCAGATGGATATGTACATAGGTCAGTTCAGGCCGCAGGCAGAAATATGGTCAGCAAACAGGCAAAGGATCAGTCCAGGCAGCAGGTAGAAATTTGGTCAATAAACAGACTAGAATATGTGCAGGCAGAGGTGTGGCAGAGGTGTAGTGATGATCAAGGGAACTGTAACTGTTGTGATCAGGGACAATATGACTGTTGTGGTGGTGATCAGGGACAATATGACTGCTGTGGTGGTGATCAAGGGCACTGTAACTGGTGTGGTGGTGATCAGGGACAATATGACTGGTGTAGTGGTGATCAGGGACAATATGACTGGTGTGGTGGTGATCAAGGGCACTGTAACTGTTGTGGTGGTGATCAGGGACAATATGACTGGTGTGGTGGTGATCAGGGACAATATGACTGGTGTGGTGGTGATCAGGGACCATATAACTGGTGTAGCGATGATCATGTACACTGGAACTGGTCTAGCGATGATGATGAACACTGGAACTGGTGTGGTGGTGATCAAGGGCACTATAACTGGTGTGGTGTGATTAGGGGCAATATGACTGGTGAGACAGTGATTAGGAACTCTGTGGTGGGTGGTGGTGGTGATTAGGAACACTGACTGGTGCGGCGGTAATTGGAGACACTGTAAGTGGACTTCAGTGATAAAGGACACTGTGAGTGGGTGGCAATTAGAGATGAGCGAAGTATTCAAAAATTCGATTCGACTGATTCGGCGAATTCGTGGAAAAATTTCGATTCAAGTTGAATATATTCGCTGCGAATTTAACTTATAAAAGGGTGTTTCTAGGCTTCAGAGAGCCTTTATATTAGTGCAGAACACTGTACCTTTAATTTAAATGCCCTTGGAGTCTGCTGGGGAAGAGAAATAATACTGACAGTCAGTATGACATGCAGATGAGTGCCGTCGATCTTAGAATCACCGCACACTTCACTCATTTGGGCAGTCACGGGGCCAAAACCAGAGTGTGGAGCCACAGTGTGGCGGTGGAGGCAGCAGCAATGGGAGGCCATACAGCACCCTATGACAAAAATGGAAACCACCAGCAGTGTGAGGAGACCTGAAAGTGGCACATGGCAGAGTGTGTGGCGATGGAGACAGCAGCAATGGGAGGCCGTACAGGGACCCATGACACACTCTGGACCTGGCAGCAGCATGAGGAGGCGGTACAGGGGCCCATGACAGATTACGGGCCTGGCAGCAGCATGAGGAGTTGGTACGGGGGCCCATGGCAGATTACGGGCCTGGCAGCAGCAATGGGAGGCCGTACAGGGACCCATGACACACTCTGGACCTGGCAGCAGCATGAGGAGGCGGTACAGGGGCGCATGACAGATTACGAGCCTGGCAGCAGCAACTTGGACAGGAGGACGTTCAGCTTCTGCACCGTCGGGTGCGTGCTCGCAAACTGTTGTCTCTTGGAAACGGATTCCAAGAAAAGACTGCTGACGGAATCCGTGAAGAGGAGTAGCAGGAGAAGGAGCATCTGAACGAGCGGAATATGCCAACAAGCGACAACAGGGGCCCATGACAGATTACGGGCCTGGCAGCAGCATGAGGAGTCGGTACGGGGGCCCATGGCAGATTACGGGCCTGGCAGCAGCAATGGGAGGCCCGTAATCTGCCAGCACCCTATGACAAAAAATGGGAACACACCAGCAGTGTGTGAGGAGACCTGAAAGTGGCACATGGCAGAGTGTGGCGATGGAGACAGCAGCAATGGGAGGCCGTACAGGGACCCATGAGAGACTGTGGACCTGGCAGCAGCATGAGGAGGCGGTACTGGGGCCCATGGCAGATTACGGGCCTGGCAGCAGCAATGGGAGGCCCGTAATCTGCCAGCACCCTATGACAAAAAATGGAACACACCAGCAGTGTGTGAGGAGACCTAAAAGTGGCAAATGGCACAGTGTGGCGATGGAGACAGCAGCAATGGGAGGCCGTACAGGGACCCATGAGACACTGTGGACCTGGCAGCAGCATGAGGAGGCGGTACAGGGGCCCATGGCAGATTAGGGGCCTGGCAGCAGCTATGGGAGGCCCGTAATCTGCCAGCACCCTATGACAAAAAATGGAACACACCAGCAGTGTGAGGAGACCTGAAAGTGGCACATGGCAGAGTGTGGCGATGGAGACAGCAGCAATGGGAGGCCGTACAGGGACCCATGAGAGACTGTGGACCTGGCAGCAGCATGAGGAGGCGATACTGGGGCCCATGGCAGATTACGGGCCTGGCAGCAGCAATGGGAGGCCCGTAATCTGCCAGCACCCTATGACAAAAAATGGAAACACACCAGCAGTGTGTGAGGAGACCTGAAAGTGGCACATGGCAGAGTGTGGCGATGGAGACAGCAGCAATGGGAGGCGGTTCAGGGACCCATGAGACACTGTGGACCTGGCAGCAGCATGAGGAGGCGGTACAGGAGCCCATGGCAGATTAAGGCCTGGCAGCAGCAATGGGAGGCCCGTAATCTGCCAGCACCCTATGACAAAATGGAACCCTGGGCTGGGGCAGGCAGAACCGCCGTATCTTTATCACGGTTTTCCCAGGCCACCGAATGGCGACGCTGCATATGCTGACGCAACGCTGTAGTCCCAACATGGGCCCCCTGGCCACGCTTGACTTTCTGGCCACATAGTCGACATACGGCTACGTTTACTTCCTCGGGCGGCTTGACGAAAAATTGCCACACCGCCGAGTAGGAAATTTTGCCCCCGCTACTCCTCACTGGCTGACTGCTACTTCCTCCGTGCACACCGGCACCACTACTGGCCGTGGTGGTAGGCTGCAGTGGAGCTGGTGCTCTACTCCGTGGCCGTTTGCCTCCACTGACACTGCTGCGACCCTGCTGCCTTCTGGCAGCAGCAATGGGAGGCCGTACAGGGACCCATGACACACTCTGGACCTGGCAGCAGCATGAAGAGGCGGTACAGGGGCCCATGGCAGATTACGGGCCTGGCAGCAGCAATGGGAGGCCCGTAATCTGCCAGCACCCTATGACAAAAAATGGAACACACCAGCAGTGTGAAGAGACATGAAAGTGGCACACATGGCAGAGTGTGGCGATGGAGACAGCAGCAATGGGAGGCCGTACAGGGACCCATGAGAGACTCTGGACCTGGCAGCAGCATGAGGAGGCGGTACAGGGGCCCATGGCAGATTAGGGGCCTGGCAGCAGCTATGGGAGGCCCGTAATCTGCCAGCACCCTATGACAAAAAATTGAACACACCAGCAGTGTGAGGAGACCTGAAAGTGGCACATGGCAGGGGCATGATTCATGGCGGATTTAGTCAGTTGTGTCAGGAACTGGTGGTTTGAAATCCAGACTAATCCACGCCTGATTCATTTCACAAACGTGAGTCTCTCCACACTTTGGGTGGACAGTCGTGTCCTCCGCGGAGTTACAATACCTCCTGCCGCACTAAAACACGCGCTCCGATGCCACGCTACTGGCCGGGCATGACAGCCTTTCAAGGGCAAATTCAGCTAGTTGGGGCCAAAGGTCAAGTTTCGTTGCCCAGTAGTCAAGGGGATTGTCTACCTCGGTTGGAAGGGTGCTGTCCAAGTAGGCCCAAGCCTGTTGTTTGAGGTCCTGCTCCAGGTCCACCTGATGCTGCTGCTGCTGCGGCTGGTTACTAGTTTCCTCACTGCGCTGGTGAAGAAAGCTACTCATCATCGACTGCAGACTGAGGCAGCCGCTGCTGGTGGAGCTGCCACTGCTCCTACCACCCCACCCCTCCTTTGCTGCCATGGCAGCGGAACGCGAGCGCACAGGGCCCACAGTGTCTGAGGATGGACGTTGGCGCAGAAAGGCAGAGACCAACTGACTACATAGGTGGTTTTTATAGTACGTTATTTTGGCCTCCCTCTCAGCAGGTGTGAAAAAGGCCACCATTTTTGAACGGTAGCGAGGGTCCAACAAGGTGGGACAGCCAAAAGTCATCCCTCTGTCTGATGGTTATTATTCGGCTGTCGCTACGCAGGCAACCGAGCATGCTATGGGCCATTTGTGCCAAGGAATGCGAGGGACTCCCTGCCCTCCATCTCCACAGCATACTGCCACGGTGCGTCTGGGTCCTGTGTCTCCTCCTCCTCCTCCTCCTCTACCAGATGCTCCTGCTCCTCCACTCCTGTCCGCTGAGTGGAAAAACCACCCATTTCACTCAATAATTCCTGAGCACAAAATGTCCTCCTCTACCTCCTCCTCTTCTTCCTGTCCTGCCCCCACAGGGGTCATGTGGCGTTGAGATCTGTGCGCCACGTCTACCGCACCCCTGACCAGCCATTGTTAACAGCATTTGTTCCAGGACGTGCAACAGAGGAATGACGTCGTTCATCCCATAGTCCTGCCGACTCACGAATAGCGTGGCCTCCTCAAAGGCCTGAGCAAGCGGCAGGTGTCACGCATGAGCTGCCAATGGCTGACATCGAAGTTACACAGGGGAGTACCTTTATCCGCTTGTAACATCATGAAATCGGTGATGGCCTTTCGCTGTTCGTAAAGGCGGTCTACCATGTGTAGGGTTGAATTCCACCTTGTTGCAACGTCGCAGATCAGGCGATGCTGTGCAATTCCGTTCTGCGCTGCAGCTCAAGGAGGGTGTGCTTTGCGGTGTAGGAATGGCTGAAATGCATGCAAGGTTTACGTGACATTTTAAGGATGTCTTGCAGTGGGATAGTGGATTTTAGGAACCGCTTGACAACCAGATTGAACACGTGAGCCATGCATGGCGCATGGCACAACCTTCCTTGACGCAGAGCAGACAGACACCATGTTCTTTCCGTTGTCGGTCAACATGTTTCCGATTTTCAGTTTGCGCGGAGACAGCCATCTGTCGATTTCTCTGTTCATTACACTGAGAAGTTCCTCCCCTGTGTGACTACGTTCGTCCTGGACCTGGCAGCAGGCATGAGGAGGTGGTACAGGGGCCCATGGCAGATTAGGGGCCTGGCAGCAGCTATGGGAAGCCCATAATCTGCCAGCACCCTATGACAAAAAATGGAACACACCAGCAGGTGTGAGGAGACCTGAAAGTGGCACATGGCAGAGTGTGGCGATGGAGACAGCAGCAATGGGAGGCCGTACAGGGACCCATGAGAGACTCTGGACCTGGCAGCAGCATGAGGAGGCGGTATAGGGGCCCATGGCAGATTAGGGGCCTGGCAGCAGCTATGGGAGGCCCGTAATCTGCCAGCACCCTATGACAAAAAATTGAACACACCAGCAGTGTGAGGAGACCTGAAAGTGGCACATGGCATGAGACACTGTGGACCTGGCAGCAGCATGAGGAGGCGGTACAGGGGCCCATGGCAGATTAGGGGCCTGGCAGCAGCTATGGAGGCCCGTAATCTGCCAGCACCCTATGACAAAAAATGGAACACACCAGCAGTGTGTGAGGAGACCTGAAAGTGGCACATGGCAGAGTGTGGCGATGGAGAACAACCCACCGACTGTTTTGCTCGCTGCCAAGCTGCCACCCTCTTCTCCTGATGATGCGGAAGCAATAGCCTGATGACGACGAGGCTGCCAAGTGCGATCAGCCTCATCATCATCAATTAGGGTCTCCGCCTCACTACTAAGCCCCCCTCGGCTGCGTGTGTGGGTCAGGAGACAGACCTGTCTCTAGACCGGCTACCGAGCCACTATCCTCGCCACTCTACTTCTTCGCTTGGCTGCTGAAGAGGCGGATGTCTCCCCCCGTTCCTGACCGCCCTCTGTTAGCTCTTCCTCACTGTACTGGATGACACCGGGAGCACTGGCCTCTGGCTGCGAATAGTGCTGCCTCGACCCCTTCCTCTGCTGCCACGTCTGCTCGCTCCTAAAACATTGCCTCCTCTGCCACTCCTCTGCTTGTTTGTCTGACATACTCTTTAATTCAACGATTCTGTGTCCCTGAGTAACAATTCTGTGTTTGTCCCTGAGTAACAATTCTGTGTCCCTGAGTAACAATTCTGTGTCCCTCAGTAACAATTCTGTGTCCCTCAGTAACAATTCTGTGTCCCCTGATTAACAATTCTGTGTCTGTCCCTGAGTAAGAATTCTGTGTCTGTCCCTGAGTAACAATTCTGTGTCCCTCAGTAACAATTCTGTGTCCCTCAGTAACAATTCTGTGTCCCTCAGTAACAATTCTGTGTCCCTCAGTAACAATTCTGTGTCCCTATGAGTACAATTTCTGTGTCCTGTCCCTGATAAACAATTCTGTGTCTGTCCCTGAGTAACAATTCCTGTGTCCCTAACTAACGATTCTGTGGCCCTAAGTAACGTTTCTGTGGCCCTAAGTAACGTTTCTGTGGCCCTCAGTAACAAATCTGTGTCCCTCAGTAACAATTCTGTGTCTGTCCCTGAGTAACAATTCTGTGTCCCTAAGTAACGTTTTCTGTGGCCCTAAGTAACGTTTCTGTGGCCCTAAACTAACGATTCTGTGGTCCTAACTAACGTTTCTGTGTCCCTAAGTAACGTGTTTCTCTGTCCCTAAGACCTCTCTCCCTGAATACAGCCAGGTCTGCCTCTGTTGAATGACTGGAGGCAAATGGAGAATTCTAAAATGGCCGCCATTTATAGCTCGACCATTACACTGTGCTGGCTGGCTGCTGATTGGCTAATGCGATCACATGTCATGAATGAATGCCATTATGGGTTCACTAATTGCGCGCCTTGTCTGCGCGCCTTCCCATAACATCCCCGCTCCGTCGCCGCACATGTCGCCGCCATTTTAGGAAAAATTTCGATTCGCGCATCCTGAATCTGCTTATTTTTCGGATTTGACGTGGAATCTAAATTTTCCTAATATTCGAAACGAATTCCACTTCGCCTACTTCGATTCGCTCATCTCTAGTGGCAATGATAAGGGGCATTGATTGATACTGTGGTGATTAGAAACACCCTGAGCTGATGGCGGTGATTAGGACACTGTGAATGGACTGTGATGATTAGGTATTACTGGGAGTGACTGTAGTGATTACGGACATTGTGAGTGGGTGGTGGTGATTAGGGATACTGACTGGCAGTGTTGCTCTGGTGACCTTGTTCTTCTCTGGTGGTGATCAGAGATAATGGATAGCAGCACTGCCATACAGTGATAACAGAAGCAGAGCAGCATGAAATTGCACAT